ACAGAGCCAGGTTTATATACTGCAGTCTATATATGAGGGGGAAGAAAGTATTATCAGCCTTGAGTCTGAGTTGGTGTACAAACTAGATAACAAACATATCTGCACATTCTTGACTAATAAAATATTTATTTACAATAACCGGACTTTAATTAAGCTTAAACAAGTGGAAATAATCTTAATTACCATAAACTACGAAATAATGAGCAGATGTTTACAGCTTAGTCACAAGGTATAAACATTTTAATTGAGTTCTTCCCTTGATCCTGATTTTTATATAAATGAAACTTGACGGGAGCCTTAGCTAGGGTGGAAGCGTAGGGTGAACATTATGTTTTTGTTTTGGAAATGAAGCTTTAATATTCGCTTTTATAGTTTATATTCAGATGCTACACGGCAGCACTTTACCTGAACTACTACAGAGAACAATTCAACCTAGACTGAATCTACAACTAATCCATATCTATAAAATGAATCTACAATAACTGTGTTGCTGCATCACAACCATCATCTCAACTGAAAGACAGGAAACATTTAAAGTTACAGTGTGTAGAATTTTGTGAAACTGAATTTGCATGTTGCAGCTGAACACCCCTCACCTCACCCTCTCCTTCCAAACATGAAAACGAACCTGTGGTAGCCTTTAATTGTCATTAAACTCAATAGTTGTTTAGTTTGTCCAGTCTGGACTAATGTAAAAAACATGGCAGCCTCCGTAGAGAGGACCCCCTCGATGTAAATATAAAGTATTTAAATATAAAGGGCCTTTTCTGTGGTAAAGAAAACTACAGTTCATACAATTTCAATGAAACGAACTAGTGAAAAAATCATGAGATTTATTATTCTACATTAAATTTCTGCCAATAATTCCCTTTCACCTAAATGTTACACACTGAACCTTTAACAGTGGCATGTGCTTATTTCAGTAGCATACAATCCAAGTGATCTACATACACCAGTGTTGTTAAACTTGATTGACTCTATACTGCAGTTTCGGAGCCAATCCGCCCAACCTGGCCCCACCCCTGGATCTGCCCTTGAAGGTGATTCATTTGCAATGCATCCTGGGTGCCCGGGCCCAACTGTGTGTGAGCAGCTCCAGTCATACTTTGATTGTCTGATCCACAAACAGTCCACTAACTGCAGAGGCCATATGAAATACTGGCAGCATGTCAGGGCACAGTATCAGGGTCCATTTATGTCTGCACTGTAAGGAACCAGATTCTCAGAGCATCAGAAAGGATTACCGCTGGGTTGTCTACATGTTGTCGTATATGATGCTTTGTGTGCGTGTGTGCATGTGTATGTGTGTGTGCGTGAACTCCTGGAGAGTTTGTAGCCTCTGGAGACAGACAGCCTGTGAAGAGAATCCAATATGTTGTTCCATAATGAAAGCTCTCAAGGGGAATTGCAACACTGCTTAGTGGGCTCTGAACAGTCCATTCAATCACAGGCTGACAACATGCTGGGATTTAGAGGCAGCCGCCCTCACTGCTGGCTCTCTGAGCAAAAGAGATAGCAATGCCAGGACAGTGGGAACGGGAACAAGTTTTAGAGCTTTGGTGATGCACTTTACTCTAATTTAAAATTCTTACATTACACTATGACTGCATCGGGTGATCTGGCCTGATTGGCTGAAACTGTTGCGCATAAATATACACCCATATGGAAACATCCTCAACATGTGCTCATCTTTGTTTAAGGCTGTACAGCTTAGTTGCTGTGACAACTGGTTCACTAACCTGAACCTGGAAAGACGTAGAGAACAGCGTGTACATGACTTTAAATGGCATGATGTAGAAAAAAAAATACATCACGTCTTGCTGGAGCAAGCCAGGTCTGGCTCTCCGCCAGCTTTTAAACCTCTGCCTTTAGAAGGGTTTTACGTCAGCACATATTAGAATAGCGCCAATGGGAGCGTGTCGACAGTGAAGTTGTTTTGGCTTCGGCCATGGTGTTGTGGTAAAGATTGATGCACCTTGAAATACAGCCTTCACTTTTATTTTCCGTGAAGCACCAGTCAATCGATTCACCGAAAAACATTTAAGATAATTTACATTCATCTTCGCTGATCATCCTTCATATCAGGTAGAAATCCATACACTTCGTCAAAGGGGGGCTGCCATGTGAGAGTGAGAAGGGAGGCAGTGACAGATTGTTTCGATCACACTCTATTACCATCTTAAGGCAAGTGATTTGACATTGCATGGGGCAAAGGCTCCAGTGCCGATCTCGTTATTGGATTTTCTATGATAATGCCATAAAATGTCATCAGCTGGAAAAGAGATGCATCTATCATGCATGAGCAAGTGTCACAAGTAATGACACTTGATTATTGGTGCTCCTGTGTGATTTTCCTGCAAATGTACAAGTTTGTGTGTGTGTGTGTGAGAGAGAGTGAGAGAGAGAGAGCAGCCTTTAATGTGAAAAAAATGTCCTGAGGAGCCGAGGTTGTGGTGTAAGAGTAAAGCTGCTGTCTGACTCCTTTTCTCTTTCTAACCTGAAGGCACAACGTGGCTGGATGGTGAGAGATGTCTTCAGTCCATGCAGGCCCGGCTCGGAGGAATGAAGATGTCATGCTGTGACGACAGGCTACACGACACTCTCACTGTTTGAGAGTGAGCTGACATTTGATGCAAGGAGGTGTAAAGGATCCTCAAAACTATGAGGGCTGAATTGAAGTAGCACTGGATCCCATCTAGAGGGGGATAAGGACAGACAGCCACAATGAGGCCAATCACACTCTGAAAGAAATATCAAATAACATGTGTACCTTGAATTTCCCACTTCTTGACAGCAGGATAAGGCAAAAACTATTGAACGGACTTGCACAAATAGTGCAGAAGGATGGACTGTAGGCCAAGAAAGAGCCAATTCAAATTTGGCGTGGATTCCGTCAAGTGGGTGAGTCCAGTAATTTTTTTGATTTCACATTGATTTTTTAGGGAATAGTAAATGGATATTTATGAAAAAGAAATCAGCCATATTAAGGTGACTTGTTTCTATGAAATTTGTGCAAATCCAAATAAAAATCTAGATGTAGTAGCTAGACTTTTTTCAGAAGGTGTATGTTACACATTTTGATACAGATCGGGTCAAAGGGGCGTATCCAGGATCAAGGTATACGCTCTATGAAGAATAAGAGTTGAACATAAATGTTGACATTATATATAGTTTGATTGGATTGGATGCTTATTACGTGACAAATTTGTTGGGGTTCTGATTCCCATTAGGGTCCAAGTGGGATTAGCAGTGCCAATTAGAGTCATATTGGGGGGATACCCCAGTGGAGTAGGGTTTACGACTTCACAATAACACAACACTTTCAGTAATGTAAATAATAAATAATCACAATACAGCTTTAAATATTGACTGATCTTTATTCATATTGAATTAAAAATATAGTTTTGACAGATTCATGTAACAAAAGAGAGGGAATACGTATTTACTTGTTCTAGTTTGGGAATTGTGTCAATAAACCAGTGAAAAGGGACATTTTTTAACTGGTAATATGTGACAAGGTATGGTCTATAAAACTTCTCAATCATTCTCATGGAACAATTATTACTTTTTTTTATAACAGAAGAAAGAATCCTCTTCCAAACTTCAATGTACTTTTTAACAGAGTCAGTGACTTTTGAAGAGCTTGCTAAAAATTAACTCTTTACACTGTAAATGTAAATCCTGGATATTTGAAAACAACACAAATGCCACCAAAACCATCAAATGCAATGAGACACTTTATAATGGTGAGTGTACAACAGGGCTATAGTATTATGTAGGTGATAAGCAGTATATAAAAGTTATGACAACATTTAATTAATCCAAAGTCGATACTGTTTAAAATCTTTACGTTTGAAAATGAAACTGCAGTATTCACAAAACCTTTATTCGTCCGACTCAATTCCTGCATGAACAAAACAAGTTGTGCTTGTGCGCCTCACAATTGAAATATGTAATACACCAGAGGGTGTAATCCAATTGTCAAATTGTGCATCAGTTTGCTACAATGCCAGAATGAAAATAAATCACCCTGATGATCTTGGTGCCAGTCTTTATGTCATGACAAATGGCCCAAGATCCCATAAAATGACAATATTAGCCTTCTGTAGAAATGTGACTTTAGAAAAGAGAGAACAGTTGAATCAGGATGGAGCCAACGTAGTTCCTTTCTGTACAAACGTTTATCTGTGATTCAAAGGATTATCCAGCCCACACTAAGTTTATTTCTTTACTTTTCTCAAACGTCAATAATTCACTCTCAGCACTGCAACAAGATATTGTTACACCATTCAATCAGTATTGCCATAAATGGATGAAGAGCTGAATATCGTCTAAAAATAAACAATGACGGTGCTCAGTGGAAATAGAAATGAAACTACTCCCCCAAAAACGTACAATGAGTCCTCAAAACTCACAATGTGATACTGGTGGATTAATTACATTTTTGATTCTGATTAAAAATGTAATATTTATTAGTTTTGCGACAGCTTTCAAGAGTGTACAAAATCTTTAAAAAATCTCAAGAGGTGGATAATACTGAGGCAAGCATGGAGGGTAGTGTGGGCATAATACACCCTGTAAAACAAAAAGTGGAAAAAAGTAATTCACTCCCTATAAAAGTGAACAAGAGTAGAGATTTAAAACACAAAATCCACCAAGTTGTGCTGAAAACACAATCACACAATCACAGGTAAAATGTTGGTGTGAAGTGGGGTTGACAAGAGACCCTGCAAGCGTTTTTAAAGTTCACTCCTCAAATTACATTTACAGAATATATATGTATATATATATACTGTATATATATTTATATACATACAGGAAAGATATCCCCAAAAGAAACAAAAATACACTAAACACTAAAAATACAATGATGCAAGGAGAAAAAAAAAACAAAAGAACAAAAAAATTGCTTCAGCTGGAAAAAAGGAGCATCATTGTTCTATTTACAGATACACTGGCCACTTTTTTTTAAACCTAACTATAAAAATACTATCCGCTTTTTTGTTTATTATTTTCCATTTTTTTTAACAATGGTAAAACTGTTGAGCAACCTTTATCTGAAAGTCTGTCATTTAGTCAAAAGACAATTATTTCCATTTTACAGTTTTACCATCAATTTCATACATAGTGAACTGTGCTTACTCAACCACTGTCACATTTCCCTTTCATGGCATCGTAGAATATACACATCAGTAACAGTAAAATCTGAATATGACAGGAATACACAGTTTGACTCCATTACAATGGTAGAATATGTGTCTGTCAGCTGCTTTATGTGCGATTGGTTTGATGACGCATTTAACAAAATTATTTCTTGGCGGCTAGAAGTTCTCTGATATGCAACATGTGTTTATCCTAAACAATAAGAGCATTTAAAGCACAGCTGGATGGAGTTTATGCAGCGAAAACACATCCTTATGATATTAATAATAAAAGTGTGGAAAAAAGAGAAATAGAGCAATCAAAAAACATAGAGACGTCTGCCTTTGCTTTGGGAGAACAAGAGGTTTGTCATTTACAGTCGTCAGTTTCCCACAGCGAGTCAGTTTTTTATCCAAGTGGTCGTCAATTCGTAAAATCGACTTGATGTATTGACTTTTTCCATTGATTATCACATCATATTTACTAACCGATGTAAAAGTCAGTGCAAGGTGTAGATACTTCTGATTTGTACTGCAGAGGTGAAATCTGTCCCATTTGGCCATATTTAAATTGTGTTGCTCGGTGAGGTGTTGATGACGAGCACCCGAGCGCTTCAGTTTTGGTCTTTGTAAATCTTTTCTCATTTGGCAACGATATGAAAGGTTCAGCCTGGACTTGAGTTCCTCTGAAGGGCAAACACCAGCTCTTAAATGTGGACGCTGCTAGCAATTGCTTTAATGTCGATTAGAGACGTGACAGATGAAAGATGACACTTCAAAATGCAGATCAAAAAATTTACAACGAGACCCTTAAGAGAAGGGTGGAAAGTAAAACTTTACACAGCATTTACAATATATATGATAGCATTTGCTTCAAATAAGAACAAAAGCAGACGCAAAAAAATAAATAGAACATTTACTATAAGGCCGATTTTCTGGGTTGATCAGTATTTATAGTTATTGTGCTATTTAAATATATCTTCTGTACTGAGGCTTTTACACAGTAACATAATATCTTTTCACTTGAAATTATAACTCTAACTCCTCCAGTTAGTTCTGGTCTTTGCTCCAAACGTAGCTGCTTTTCAGGCTTTCAGTGTTTCAGCTGCAGAACAGTGTTTGCTACATACAACTCCACAGTCACCTCCGAGGACAAAGAAAGAAAGAATGGCAGTCAGCTCTGGTCTCCTCTGCCAGTTACAGTGTACTTGCACCTTCTCCCCTGCTAGCTTTTGTAACATCGATGCATTGGTCGGGTAACATTTCTGGAATGCTAATACCTCCGTTTTAAACTTGCCGCAGTATTACAGCCTATTGCCTGTCGTTTTGGGGTTGCTCAGCCGCTGCAGCGGGTGAGATGTTGGGTAACATGATTTCCCCACAGGACAAGTGAAAGTGGATGAATTAGCATTCAGAAAGCTAAAAGCCCCTTGTGATGCCTGCTGGCTGACAGTGCCAGCAGGTTTTCCCATCCAGAAGATTGGCTTTATTTTTCTACAGAGATCCATTAGGCAGACTTTTGGTGACTCTCTACCGCTGTCATTGCACTTACACACACAGCCAGTACAGTAGTGTACAAGTATTACTAATACCTTTTGGGTGATGGCAAAAATACATAGCTGAATTTCAACTCTAAACACAGAGGAAATATTCAAAACACAGATTTATGTAAAGGATTTATAAGAGTACACTTAATCAAGTAAAACTTAAATCAGCAGAACAAGTGAAAATCTTTAAAAGTGTGATCCAGCACAGCTAAATGAGGTTGCTAACAGAGCAATGACAATGCTTGAGTGATCCTTAAAAAATGATGTGATGACTGACTGTTTAAACCCTGCACCCCACTTACCTATAAAATCAACTTTCTTTCTTTTTGAGTTCCAAATGTCATCACTCTGTCTACTGTGGCATTATGAAACTAATCAGTCCCTCTTTATCCTTTGATTTCAATTGGTCTGATCCCTTTATGATGTGGCAACTTGTGCCTCAGCTGGAGCTCAGCTGGATGATTATTATTTCCCATAAAACCTGAGAGGGATAGAAAACACTGTGCCAGGGTAACATGTGTGTTTTGGATAGTAAGTCGTCAGTGCCGTCTGTCCGAGTCTCTCCTCTACCTGTTTATTTCCAATGTAGAGGCACAAGGTTGTGTAACTGTGGTTGTGTGTTTGACAAACAGGAATGAAAGAAATGTAGAATCCAGTGTTTGTGGAGCTTGACCCGTATAAGGGACTTCATAGAAAATTAATTCGAAATCACTGGTCTGCCCTTTCATACGCCTGAAAATCAATGTATTTCATCATATTGATGCAAAAATCCTCTAAATCTACAGTGTCCACTAAAAAACAATTTTCAATGGATATCTAACTTGTCATTTACGTTATTAAAAACCTTACTTTCTACCCTGTTCCAGTGTTCTATCATCATATGGCCCAACTCTATTAGTGATATGATTTTCATTAGAGGGTATGGATATGCCCTTTCATGGTAAAATGCCTAATGAAGATGACGTGAGAACTCAATGAAACCATTGTCTCATTGCAAATCATAACTGCAACATGAAAAATGGAATAAACTTCAACAAAGACAATGAATAACAGCAAAGTCATTTGGCTGTGCCAGAGAAGCAAGTCCTATCAAATGATCTAAATCAGGCCTCAATCAGGCGATGACGTTTCCATCAGATCTTACTGTGTCAGTGTCTTCTGGCAGTATTGTTTGAGTACAGAAAGCTATAGCCATCAGTGGAATCAGCGATCGCAATTAATGTAAAACACCAATACATAAAAAAGGTGTTGTTTCTTCAGAGTGTTCCAAAATGTGGAGGAAGCTTTTGCCAGACAGGTTTGACACTTGTGAACCCCCTGAACCTTCAGAGACAGAGCCAGGCTTTGTAGTCGTGCGGTGTGGTCAAAGATAACTTCCTGTTTCTGTGACGTACAATAGTACGAACACAGAGAGGCGAAATCAAAGAAAAACACTCTTATCCTCATCATTTCGTCTACTTTTATATTTATGTCCAGACGCAGCTCGCTCCACGGACTGTGAACTGCGTCTGACTGGTAATGACCAGTAATTGGCCTATTTACAACTCTGCAGGGTTGGCTTGTTTGCCATCTCCACTGTGCTCTGGCTCGGTGTCTGTGCTGTTTATCCTGCGCTTCATGATACACATCCACTGTAAGACAAGGTGACAAAGTAAACAGATCCCTGATGTCTAAAAAGAAAGGAAAACAAAAAAAAGAAATCTTTCTCTCGGGGCCTGTTAGAATGTTCTTCACAATGCTGCTCCTTGTCCAGTTACAAACATTTGTCCATTACCAGGCACCAGTTCCATTGAAACAGTGCTGCAGTTACTATAAGTCATGTCAGTCACAATGCTGCTTACAATGATCTTACCACGAAGGTATTTTTGAACTGGTCTGGTTTACTGGCTCATCCTCGGTGAAGGAGGACAGGAGGGATCTCAGCATAGGGAAGTTGTGGGTCATCCTCTGAGTGATCAACCTTTAAAATCCTTCCCTAGTCAGGCCAGTAATCTGTTGAATGCTTTCCACCAAGCATTGGGTGAATATCACAGCTTTCCATAAGAATGTGGTGACATTTACTTTTCCGCTGACTGCCATTACCGACACTCTCTTCCTGCACAATGTCAACTGAGCCTCTCCTCTCCTGAATACTTCAACAGGGTTTATCTGTTGCTGTGTATGTATTTATGTATGAAGTAATGTGAAGTTATTACTGGTGTGTCAAGGCTGCAGGCATGTTAACATGTTCTAGGTTGGATATGAGCTGTGTGTGATGAATGTTTGAAATCCATTACTGCTGCAGCATCCTGTAAAACATGTTAAAAAAATCAAAGAAGCATGAGGGCAGGCATGCAAGCCACATCTGGGCTCTTAAGTGTGACTGAAAATTTGCTGGTAGGTCACGACATGACTCCATGCGCATGTGTCATTTGACAGATTGCACACATGCAATAGCGATGTGGGCATACTGCAATATGTATATCTAGCTGTGTGGAAAATGAGATAAAAGAACATGGTGAAGAGTAATTTATCAGCACGTAAACAAAAAGTAATCATAATTCATTTAAATTCATGGCAATAATCCTCTCTTTGGGCTAGCCTCTGTCTGTTTCTCAGTTTTTCATTCTATCATTCATCTAATTTCAACCTTTGATTGTGTTGTTTCTGTGCCTCACGTTGAGTAAAATCGCTGGGACAGCTCGCCCCAGAGCAGAACCCACCTCGGAGAGAGCTGTCTACTTGCTCTAGGGGACAAGGAGGGAGTTAAAAAATATAGTCTGAATGTCAAGTGGGGCCGTCGATGACTGTTATTGTGGTCCTGTCAAGAAAAGGCAGAACCATAGAGTGAGAATAAAAGAATGGCAATCAGATATAACACGGAGAAGTGTTCGGGGAGGGTGCAAGGAAAGCCCAGGTTGACAAGTACTTTGAGCAAACGAAAAGGCCGTTCACAGTCCATTTATCTCCTCTCCTAACCCTTTATTCATTCCTCCATTGTACGACAGGCGGGGTCACTACACTACAGTGTTCCTCTGTCTGTATGGAGGGGGCGGCAACACGTTGCCAGCTTTCATAGCAGCCTCAGACAAATATTCCTGGTTTTCAGCCACGGCGGGGCGAATGCGTCCGTTCTGCCGGTAGAAGAAGCGCGTGCTGCAGTCCTGCAGGTACTCAGGGTTGTGCAGTGTGGATTTTGGGGGGAGACTGTGCTGCCAGTATTCGGGATTGTCAAAAGTGGCCTTCTTGCCTTTCTTATCAAACATGATGGTGCCGCTGGTGATGCCTGAGTGCAGGGCGTGTCCTGAATGCCCTGGATGCAGGGTGTGTGATGGATATGATGGATGGGGGAGGTGGCCAGGAGGTACCCCATATACAGCGGAGGAGACGGTGTGGCTCGATGTTGACGGGTTGACTGTCTGCGATACTGTCTGGGCAGTGGAGAACCCAGGCCCAGAGATGGAGACTGCGCCTGCCAATCCGTTCTTGTCCCCAGGGTTGAGGAGGGTATTCAGGTACAGTGGCTCATTGATGTACTCGTCGCTGTGGGCGGACTGGTTCTTGGGGGCAGCGGCAGCTCCAGCCATGTGCAGGGTGTGGCAGCCTGCTCCATCGACCACTGCATGGGCGTCGCCGTTCCTCCGGCGTGTGACAAAGGGGTTTTCCTCAACAGGGTTGAGATAGTCTGGAAACAAAAAAGGGGATAGAACGATCAGATCAGATCATTTAATCGCATTTGAAGCCACTAAAGTCATATACCGCAATATGACAATAATAAAATACAACGTCTGCATTCAAATGGTCCTTGGGTTAACATTTCAGGTACATGCAGTATGTAAAACAAACAAGAGCTAGTCTCCTACAGCCATCATCTGTTAGTTCTCAAAACTGTCAAACAAACCTGAGTTGTTCTTGTCTCTCATGGCAGTCATGTATCCATCCTGGTCCTTTTCTCCTTTTGTCCCTCGATCTGCTAAAACACCAGTTGGATCTGCACTGTAACGCTGTCCGCTGCTGTCCTCGCCTCCAACTTGTGAAGACAAAAGAAAAAAATGAGGCATGAAATGAATGTAAAATATGATCATATCAATAAGTTATAAACTCTGTCTCTGAGAATGAGATGGATCTTGGATACAGATTTGTGGCATCTACTAAATATGTGACATTCTTTTAATGCAAGTCATTCTTCACTGATAAACAAGCACCTTGCATTCTCAATACTATATATTTTCATGAGCTATGTCTATTTCATCTTGTGACTACACCCCCAGGCAGGGCTATGGCTAATGGCTGCATGGCTGAATCACTCTGTTTTTCTGAGGATATGAGGGATTTTAATGAACTTAGATGCATTTTTCTTTTTTCTTCCTTTTTAATCAGTTGACAATAGACAGATCAATATCAGTGCCTGAGAAGAGCCACCATTGGTAGGGCCCAAACATAACCTTTCATTTTGCTTCTTCCTGTGAACCACCACTCTCCAGCTATTGCATGGTACACATGTTTTCTGCATAACAAAGGCCCCATGCCTCAGTCAGAGCATGTTTAGCTGCAGAAATCAGCTATCAACTTGCACATATGGCAGATGATCACATTTGGTGGTTTCTGCTTTTGGCAATTGGTTAAATGCCTTAATGCCTATGACCTACCCTGTTTAAAATTCATGCTGTGAAATCAATCCAATATTGTTTGATTTATTTTTGTCCTTAATACAGGAGTCCAAAAATAGATGCACCACATCACTGAAAACATATTCTAGTGGCTTATTATAATTATTATCCTCCATGAAGTAAGAGATACATCATCATCAACTTTGTCTATTCTGTTTGTGTATATCCATGGTTGCTTGCTATCCATGGTTCATTATTGTGTGTGTGTATGCAGCTTATTCATGGGCCACTTTTATAAGGGACTTGTCCAACACCTCTCTGTGCGGTCCAAAAGACCTAGAATATGCCACAACTGCTGCTTCTGTCCAGCTGCTTAATACAAGCCAAGCCAGATGCTCTCATTTCCCAAATCCTCTACTAGACTGCATAGTCACAGCACAATATCAACAAGGAAACAGCAGATATGGAAAGAAATAAGGGCGTCAACGAATTCACTTTAATTTGGTTTGCAAAGATGAGTTACTCCACAAAGTACCCAAACTAAAACCAACTTTTCTCACCCAGGATTGAATTTTATCATTGGAAGTGTTGAAGGCTATCATGCAGTAAACAGCCAGACCACAATAAGGACTATAAAAAGAACAATTACTTGACATTTAATAATAATAACTCAACATCATGCAATGCTTGGTTTAAGGTTGGTGTTAATCATGCCCATACATTTTTAGCATTAATAAAGGTTTCAGTGAAACCACCCTTTGGACCATCACATCAGCAGAATGGTACCTTCAGCAGAAACTCCTGCACCTCGGTGTGATGTTGTCTTATCATATGCATAGAGGAGGTTTACCGGGAGATTTTAATTATGTCATGGCTTAATCAGATTATTGCTTTTCTTCATACCAATGGCAGAAGGAGAATGCATTGTTCCCAGTTTCCACAAATTTAGGCAAAAAAAAATCCTTTACCTTGTCCTGCAGTGAGAGCCGAGCATGCCCCGAGGGTGTTCGACCTTGGGGACGCCTGCTTCCTCAGGGTCCCATTGCAGCGAGGGTCATCCTGGTTGATTCGGCCAAATCCTCCACCAATTTGTCCCCCCGAGGCCAAGTCCTGTGGAGGGAGGCAGCTCCCTGACACAGGTGGAACAGAGACCACTCTTGGGAGGGTGGCCAACATGTCCTCCATGCTGAAACTGGGGTCCTGGTAGCTAAACTGGTTCTAGGTAGATGGATAAAGAGGAAGGGTTTAGTTAGCATAGAGCTTTGGGAGTCTGAATTGTCGAGAGAAATGCCCATGAAACTAATACAACTGGGAAGAGTTATGGTAAAGTTTGTGCTGCTCATCTTGTGCAGAAATCAAACAAACATGCAACAAACAAATAAAAATAAATATAAGCACCATGCAAAAATATTGTGCATGGCAAAATGAGGAATTTCAGGTTCATTGTATCATCTGTAATATTTTTGTGTGACAGGCAGCGGAGACAAACAGCAGTGCCAAACAATGATATGGCAGCATGACTGCCAAGGACAATTTAATTAAAAGGTTTTTAATTAAAAGGCTCCATGCAGCAAAGTCTGCAGCTGTATCAGCCCTGCCCTGCTGTGTACATCCGTGTCTACGCTCGCAAAAAAACTAAAAAGTTCTTTTTAGAACCTCACTGGGAGCTTTATTCTGATTCATCTTTGTTCTGTCTTTATTTTCCAGCAAGACGTTAGTTTTCTGTTTCATTTCCATCAGTTTCTGTCCCTAACATGGTGTCTGATGAGCCTGTAATCTTCCCTAATATGACAAAACATCCCGCTGCATTTACATTGTTCTTAAAACACACAAGCAAACAAAGCTCCTGTATTTCTGATCTGTGAATTAAGGTGCAGGGTCAAATCCCACCTTCCCACAAATGAACCCAATTCAACCTTGGTACCAAGGCCTAAACCAAGAATTAAAGCCAATTGGCCTTTTGGATTCAAGATATTAATTAGAGATGGGTCCGTCACTGTTGCTACATCCTTCTGATGGACTCATTTTAGTTTGTGGTGTTTGTTGTGACAGCATTTCAATAGATTTCAGTACAAAGAAGCTGCAAATATCAGCTTTAAACCAAAGCTTGACTATACTGACGTGTCTTGTTCCAACTCTGCTTGTGCGCCTCTTGATTCATCAGCATCAGTAGAATATTTGCTCAAGCTGAGACAAAGCTTGAGAGCTCACGCTGTCTTTTCTCATTCCCCCTTAACTACATCTACTAAATCACCCTGTCTCAGTCCTCGTTTGTACCTGCTCCTCCTTCCTATTCCTCTCAGTATTTCAAGGAAATAGTTACAAAAAAACAACAGAAATTTTTATTTTTTTAATTGTATTTGAATTTATTCAAGTGAACCACCAGGGTCATTATCATTTTCTCACTATCTGGGCCATGAAGACAAGTGGTGAGACGGAGTATCTCACTTGAATATTTTAAATAGTCAAGTAAAGTGCCTCATTCAAACATTCCCAAAGAGCATGGTCACTATTGAACTAAATTGTTTTCACGGTCAGACAACTCTCATTGTAAGGAATTAGACAGCATTGCTCTATCTTATAATTATATCTTGCCTTTATTCTTTCTTATATCTTATAAGATAATCTCTGTCCATCTTACTTAAAACTGTTGTCTAGCATGTTCATGATAACGGCAGCGAAAACGGATTCTTCAGTTGGGGGTTCTGTGTACTGAGTCGAGCCGCCCAGGACTCTGTTAGTGAACACATCGGTGTGCAGCAGCAGCAGGGCAGGTCCAGGGACTTAATAACTGCAGGTCATTGTTTCAGTTTCAGAAAGAAAACTGTAACCAGCATCACCACAGGCCAAACTAACAGCCCATTCCAAACAGTCATGTTTACAACGGGCACTGCACTAGTATCAATAATGGCAGTTTGAAATGTTGTGATGTGGATTCAAGTCTTCCACTGTGTTGTCCAACTGTGCAAATGTGTAAATATTATATCTTGTATGCTGCAATAATTGCCTTCATTTTGAGAATTCACATTAATTCAGTATCCATCGATTTTTGAAAGCCAGTACAATAATCTTTCACCCGTCTGAAATGGAACTGGAACAGAAGTCATTTCTCTCATTGGCATTCAGCTGGCATTTTTATTCTGACACCAACACAGGGGGATACTGGAATACAAAATGGCTGAGTTGCCTGGCTGTGTGACTGTTTTTTGTGATAGATTCAAGTCCAAAGAAAGACAATGAACATTTGAACAGTTGAGGAACAGAGGGAATCTGGCTGTAAATCCCAGTTTTGAAGAATGCAATTACTGCAGTTTCACAATGGAGAAAGACCAAGGAGAAAAAAAAACACAGAGAAAAAGAAAGCAGGAGGAAGATGAGAGTGAAACTGAGAAGGCTGCACGAGTTCAGCTTCAATGTCTCAGTCTTTTGTGCTTGTACAGGACAGTCCTGCAAACGCCTCCGCGCTGAGAAACTCATTCTCACATCTCTTTAGATACCATGCAAATGATCTGAATACTTTGACATTATATTGTCTCCTTATCCTTCACGGTTCAACACTAACAACCCTGCCACTGCACTTTAGAAGAAATGGTGATAAGAAGTGGAAATAAAGCACATGTAATGGTAACAGAGCACATGTCAGGTAAGAAGATAAGCAACTAAATTCTAATTTATTCAACAAAGGAAGATAAAAAATAGCAAATGGAGAACTGAATATTAAATAATGGGAGGGCTTCATATTTCATAATACCTTCATGCAGAGCAGGAAAAACCAGTCTGTGCATTGACTCGGCTGTAAAAATACACATATGCTACATTTGATAGAGTTACGTATGAAAAATTGATTCATACAAATATCTTTCTTCATATTTGTCTGGATTTTAGAGGTGGAGCCATAGTGGAGATTCAATGTCCGGATGACTGACTATAATTATAATTAAAATGTATGACATTTAGACTGATTGTGTAAAATGTTACCTAATGTTAGGAGACTGAACTTGTGTAGTTTGTTAAAATAGGTTTAAAGAGTTAAATACCACTTTTTATGTTCAGGTCTCCTCACTCAGACTCGATGAAATGAACTATGATATTCAATAAATATTCTGACAGGGGCTGTTGACATTCATTTATAAGTAAAAATGTTTGACATATAACTTGTGTTTGAAAAACTACACAACTCACTTAATTAGGAAGCAAACATTCCACTTAGGATAAATGTTTTGACTGCCTGAGAAGTAGATTTGAGATTGATCTGTGATTAGAGGGATTCAAATCTAAAATATCAGATTCAAACATAAGACAATGTCAAAGATTGTGGTTTTGTCAGAGACAAACGGAGCACAGAGACAGACTGAGATTAGAAGGATTTTGGTTTGAGCCCAGTAAATGGGAGCAACAACTCAGCAATGACCTCATGAGTTACTGTGAAACCAGACCCTGCATTTTAAGGCATATATATCAAAATTTCCCGAAACAAAATACCTTGTTGGAGTCCATGCGCGGGCGTGGAGTGTACGCCAGTGGAGGAATGTTGAAGGAGTGGGGCACTAGGTACTCGTCAGCATCCATCAGGTCCTCCAGCTCCTCCTCGTCCAGGAGGCTCTGGAAGAACTTGCTGTCGTTGGGGCTGGGCAGCTTCATGCGATCGTCGCCCTGAGAAAAGCAGTGTCTTATTTAATAATAATAATAATGTATTGATGTAATAGTATTTCTGTGACATTCACAATTTTTACATCTTAATTAGTGTAATATCTTCCCATGATTTTTTATTTTTATTAAAGAGCTTCAAATTAAAATTATGTTATGATTATTTTAACTAATCTGCAAATAATCAAAGATTAACTTCACTTCATCTGTTGAGTAACTGAAATTTAGCAAGCCCAATTATTTTAAGGTACAATACACAACTAATTTGATTAATTTTAATATTTTTTTTAAACGTACATTACATTATTCTACCAATGAATTGGCAAATCAATATGCAAAATGACAGAAATGGGTTCTGGCAGTTGTAAGAACTCTTTAAGAAATTTAATCCAGATCTTGTTGGGGATTAAGATTTACCAACCTGGATGACGAGGTATCTCTGGGGATCACGCGCCATTCGAGTGAACTCTGCAGCCAGCTCCTTGAACTTGGGACGACTGTCTGCATCAATCATCCAGCCTGAAAAATGTGTGTGTAAATGTCAGTGTTTGATCAATACGAGGTTCCAGATAAATAGATATTGAAATTTAAACCCTTTAGCCAGTAGACCTTGACCTTAAATTTGACGATTTTAATTAGTTAAATATTAATTAAAGTGGTAAAGCTGTTTTCTGTCCTCAGTGCGTAATTCTCAGCAGTAAACAAAAGCCTCATCAACACCCATCAAGTTCAATCTATCCTCTGACACATAGTAGATAAAGATGGCTGTTGCATCGCCATTTCTTTCCACTATACACAAATTAAGCTGAAATGTCCCAGATTCGACCGCTGCCATCTTGCGCTTTTGGAAAAAAAGGAGTAGTGAAAGAGGGGATGGAGCCACAGAAGCGAGGTCCTGCCGATACATGTACTCTACCAATCATGAGTCAGTCTCAGCTGTCAACATGACTTTCCAAATATCTTATTGATACCAAACTTAGTGAGAAATTGAACACATACATCAGTGTGACGAGAACTTCTAAAATGACAGAAGCCATTTTTAAGAAAAAATAATTCATGTACTTGGACTTTTTAGTTTGGTCCCATCCAACAACATGGAGGAGGCAGGATTTATACTGTTTTGGCTTCATTTTTGGGAGGAGGCATGTTGTCAATCTTCACATATGGTCAATGACTCTGCAGCACTTGTAGATGGGTGGAAAGGAGCAGTGACTGTGTCAGTGGTGATCAACGTTTCCTAATTGTTAGTCCTCACACATCAAGGTTCCTGGCTTTGCACATCGTGTCACATATGTCTGCCGTGCTCATTTTTGTGCTATTTGCATTAAAACATCATTCATTATAATGAATAACTTTTATATCAATCATTTAACCCCAAATTAACATACATCTTTCATTTTATGCACATGTGAATAATTATCCACAATGTCAATGTCATAAGAAAGCTCCTGAATGAGAAGCATGTGAGAACTGCAGGAGGCTACTTCCACAGCACGTCTACTTTTATTGTTGCAGGCATGTGAGTACAACATGAAGGTGCTACACATATGTATATTTCCCTATCGCTAAGATTGCATTAATAAAGAATGAGTACATTTTTGTGAAAAAAAATGTACAATCTGACAGATGCTAATAAGCTTCCCACCTCTAAAGGTCTCAGAAGATCCTCCATTTAAACCATTTTCCATCACATAAAAATCCACATTTGTTCCATAATGAACAATTACAGATTTTTTTAATGACATTCTCTTTATTGTAATCACTTTTTCCAGTCTAAAGATAAACACTGTTTCATCACTAGGAAGGCCATATGGAGTAATGAGCTCCTCTGCCAATTTCTCTGTGAACACATCATTGCGGCGCCAAAGCAATCATGTGATCTGGCCCTGAGCAGAGCCTGACGAGGTATCCGGGGAAATAAGACACAGAGATCCAAAGGGAGAGACGTGGCTCTACACAGGAGTACACATATACACGTACACGTAGGGGGGGATTTCATATGTAAAAAATGAGCTTTTATCTTGTTGCTTTGCTTCTTGCCAATAAATCAAGCGAAGGGAGTATTAAAAAGTCTATTTTCACCACGTGTTCAATGTGTAGATTTGGGTGGATGAGCTCTGTACCATATGTTTAGCTGCACAAAAAGAAAGGCAGGTAACAATGACCTCACCCTGCGGTTTGCCAGGTTGGCACAAGTTCAGGGTGTCGGTTAGGGGCCAAGGTGACAGTGAGGGGACAGTGAGGGCCAGAGGCTGGAGCTGGGAGAGTAGAGGACAAGGCCGGGGCCGAGCTGGCACCAAAAGTCTTTGTCCTGGCAGCAGCAGCCAGAGGTTACAACACCACCTGTGACCCTGGTGCCAGACAGCATGACACCAGTGACTGACCAATAAGGCCGTCATTATGGTCGTGGGCGTCCCAGCCAGCCAGAAAATTAGCTGCTCAGTATCTTCTACCATTCATCCTCATAAACTTTCTATAAGGATTTCTCACAATTTTAAATTCTGCTGTAAATGATTCATCTTTGACTGCAGCTTTTATAAAACAGAACAGTTGTGGCATTTTGAAAATCCTAGTGAAAGCACAATTATTGCTTTTCTCTGCTTTGACTTAAAACCATTTGGCCTTATACCCCAAAAATCCACTTGACTTTTCTACTGTCAACACGAAAACTGGAAACCATGCACAGCACTGTATATAATAAATTCAAATTTTTCTCACACTTATTTGTTGAGATGCACAGAAACAGACTCTTTCTGCTACTCTTGTTTTCAGTTATGTTACATTTTAAGGTATTCCTGTGATGTTTGCCCACTCAGACGCTCTATACCTACATTTGACCATGACCATGTAGACGTCGATGGTGCAGATGGGCGGCTGTGGAAGACGTTCTCCTTTCTCGAGCAGGTCTGGAATGTCTCGGGTGGAAATCCCGTCGTACGGCTTTCCTCCAAAGGTCATCAGCTCCCAGATGGTTACCCCTAAAAACAAAACAAAAAAGACGTAGGGTGAGATACAACAAAATAAGGTTTGAATCCCAGGTCGGCTGTTTGTCTTTCTGTGTGGAGTTTGCATGTTCTCTCTGTGTTTGATTCCCACATTCCAGACATGAACATTGGGGATAAGGTTGATTGATTGGATTGATTGATGATTGGAGACTTTACATTGACTCTGCATGTTGACCCTGTGTTAGACTAGCGACCTATCCAAAGTGTACCCCATCTCTCGCCCCAATGCCAGCTGGGATGGGCTGCAGGATAAGTGGTAATGGATAGATGGAACAGATGGAAAAAGACGAATGAGTAAACTAGAGCGCAAGGCAAGGAAGAAGTAGATAAGATAAGGACAATCAGAGAGAGAGTAAAGAAGGGTAGAGAAACAAGTAAAGAGATGAAGAATGACAGTATTCGACAGGAGAAAACTGGAGATCAAGCAAAAAGAATAAAATTGAGAAAAAAAAAAGACGAAAAGCAAACAGTGTGAGACCTGAAGAGAGATCAGAGGGGATGAGGAGACAGAACTTAAGTAGAAGAGGAAGCGATGAGACAAAGAAGAAAGACAACTCAGAAGAGGACAGGAGACGAGTGGAGGAGAGAGAGAGGAACTAATTACAGTCTTGAAAGTCATCAGCCAGTCTGAACTTTCCTCAGCCCTAATCGTGTTAGTGTTAATTGGCTAATGAGTGGCGAGCAGAGTAAATGCACACAATAAGATGGAAGTATAATAGCCCGCGGTCATGGAGGACCACTGGGGACACACACGCACTAAACCATACTGATACTTTTAATCAAACACGCATTATTCTCTTTGATATAAGCCCAACTCTTTTTTCTTCTTTAAGAGTCATTGGGAGACTTAAACAGGAAATTGTTCTTTGAAATATGGCGATGAGAATTACATAAGACGGAGGGATAATGGAGAAGAGTCTTTAAATTTAAATCTTGCTGACAAGCTGATGGCTGAACAGACTTGTTCTAACATTATAGGAGTTAAAAGAATAAATCACCCTGTTTGCATTTTTACAGTGATTGTTATTGCCACATGTTCAAGCAGTCAGAAAGTAAGGAATCATCACTCCACTCTCATTTGCTGAAATCTGACTTAAAGTCAGGGAGTAAATCACCTTGTTTGCATTTGTTTGCACTGCTGCAGTTTGAACCAGCAGCAAGTCAGCTCTAATGTTGCTTCAAGAAGTATTTATTCTCATTAGGCAGACCATCAACACTCCGCAATTGTTTCTATATGAACATGCTTGATGAACCTTGATAAAGCCATGGAAGGTGTATCGGATTTTTTTTTTTTCTCCCGACCACTCACAATCTAACATCTAATTCAATTTCTATGTGTTTAGGTTAGGGCAAACAAACAACAAACCCTCAGTTGTTTGTTTGAAAGGCACCTGAGGTTTCTCACATTAGTTTCTGCTATATGGATGTAAAGTGATGTCATTTTAAAGGGAAAATCACTGAGAGAATGTTTCCAGTGTGGCTCAACTCTTATGGTCCTAATGATTTTGTCCACTCAAAGTCACTCAAGGAAGTTTGATAGCTCACCGTAACTCCACACGTCACTCTGGTGAGTGTACTTCCTGTAATGGATACACTCCAATGCCATCCACTTGATGGGCATCTAGCAGAGAGAATCAAAACACAGTATTACTATATATTATTCACACGCTTCATCCACCTTTAAAAGGATTTTGCTATAGTTTCTTTTGTACATAAAAACAGATCAGGATCATTGAATAATTTTGTTGACATACCCTTAACTGTTTTGGCAGAAGTTACTGTATAAACCATGTTAAAAAGCAAGAAATTAAACAGGGTTTGTGTATTTGAATAAGTCAAACGGCAGGGTGGTCTGGGATGCAGCTTAACAAGGTGAAAAGATTTGAAAACCTGCTCTATTGATTACAGTGATGGAGGTGAAGGGAGGAGGATGTCGGAGGTTAGCGTGTGTCCATCTTTCTTTCAATCAACTTAAATTGTTTTCTTCAGAGAGGGAGGCTTTAAAACAACAAATAACAGAAGACGAGGATGAAGGAACAATTTGAGGTGACTGTGTGTGAGTGTAAGGAGAACCCCGAGGATTCATTTCTTTACTATGATTACAAGGTTTTGAGATGTGGTCCAACAGAGCAGAAGAGTTTCTCACTAAATCCACTAAAACTGCAATTTATGCTGAGTTAATTTCCTCCCTAAGGACATAAAACCCTAATCAATGCTATTGTTTGTTACTGTTGTATTTTAACAACATGTCAATGTTGTGGTCCCAAACAGTAATTCAGTAATATTGTATCTCAGTGAGCAGCCAAAAACCAAACAACAACAGCAGATAACAAGGTCACTCACTGCAGCTTCAAATGATCATCCAGGAAAATACCAGAGGTACTGCCACTGTGCAAACATGACAATGGCCTCTAGCTACACTAATATCTGATACGTAATTCATCTGGAAATGTGAAACATTTCCCAATGGTACTTTTGAATGTCTGATTGTACAACAGAATGTAAGGGCCCATTCAAACCACAAAGAATGACCCTCGACATTCATGAAGTCAAACTATCATGAGGATATGAAAATATACTTGTAATATTATGAATTATTAAAATCCATGATATCACAAGATGTTCTTAGGCTACATGTTTTTCCTGGGGGGAATGAAAGATCACCGAGTTGTTGCCTGTGTTAAAATGAGGAATATGGAGCATTTTGTTAAGTTGTATTTTGGTATCTGTTTTGAAAAGGAATGATCTTTTGGCTCATCAGCACTAAATTATCATAAGTATCAATACTTATGATTTCAGTTTATTCTGAACTAGTGGTCGACTGTGAGGACATAGTGGGTTAGATCTGTGCGCTGTTCAAAGAGGCTTTGCAGTTTCTGTGGAAACAATGAAATTGTTCAAGATTTTGGTTCCAGGAGGAGAGGAACTCTGGTCACCACAGTTTCTCTTTGCTGCTCATTTCCAAAACATTTTCTCAATTACGATTAAATTCGATTTTTTTTGTCATTAAATTACAACTTTATTCTTGTAATATTATGACCTTCTTCTCAATTTATTCTCAAAACTTTTCTTCTTCAACATATGAAAAATCTGATCTCAATTTGAGTTTGGCATCACATTCCTGATGATGATCAATATTACAAATCCTTATATTCAGTGTGAAGCAACATCCAGCAGCAGGTTATATTAGAAAAGGACAAAGACTGAAAGCAGCACACCTGGCTCTGTCTGAAGGTAAAACCTAATATTTGCATCTATGATCATCTTTAGTTTGACTTTTTACTGCAGTTATAATAACTCCAAACGTGTTTTCTTGTTTTTTTTTTTTTCTGAACAGAAACACAGAAGTCAAGGAGTCCAGCCAATAAATGGTTACAGCTTCTTATGACTTTATAAATATAAGGGTGGTATTTAAGTGGAAAGCATATTTTGGAAAATCTCAAACTATGTATTTTAACTTAATTTATTATATGCATTGATACAAATACTAAACTGTCTCACTCATAACATTGATACTCATTTCATTTTGTCACAGCACATTGAGGCTCAAAAACCTCACATGTAGACATGCATGTTATTTGTTTGTGTCATGTGTCACCTGACAGTGTAAATAACTTGGTTACCTTTCCTCCATCAGCATTATATTCCTTCTCATTAACATCCAGCAGGCGAGTGAGGCCGAAGTCTGTGATCTTGATGTGGTTGGGAGATTTGACCAGGACATTGCGCGCTGCGAGATCCCTGTGGACCAGCCTACGTTCCTCCAGATACATCATCCCCTGCAACACACATACACACACACCAGTCATTTTCCACTCTATTCATTTTACATACGATACATATATTTGCAGGCCCGGGCGAGCAGCAGTATGCAGCAACCTGCACCTCCTGTTTAACATCACCATCTGTCTTCATCATCATCATCATCACTATGATCACTACCACCTCCGAGACCCCATTAGAATTTTTTTATAATTACTCGTGTCATCATCATTACCACCAGCACATTGTTATTTCCATGGTTATAATTCCCATCAATCAACAAGTAGACTGTGGAAAAGCCCTCGTTATTGCTAAATGCTTGGTGATGCAGTAACAGCTGCATCAACCCAGAGGCAGGATTTCAATTAAAAAAAGGACCCACAGAAGAGTGGAGTGTTGGAGCAACACATTTCATGCAATACATTTACTGAACAATTAAGAAACCACCCCTCTGCTCTTTCTCCCTGTCCCGGCTTTAATTAATGATGATTATCTGCCTTGGAAAGAAAAAAAGGCATTTCTCTGTAACATCAGCATCACATTCATGTGAAGTTTCCACGCAATTAATCCACAATATTCATTTCCAGGGAACGTTGGCAACGTTTTCACCCTCAAAGCCACTCAAAAGCCATTGGACGGTGTACTGGCATCAAACTGCAGCTGAGACACTTAACACACAAACAATCACACTTGAATAAGACAGATGTACTTGTTTGTTATCAGTCTTTTCTTGGGTCGTGCAAATGTTTGCATTTATTAAAGTGATTAAAAAAGATGATAATTTAATTGATTTATGTAGAATCTTTCAAAGATAGATCTGGAATTTCATTCTGATCCGCACCAAATTGCACAAACTCAAACTCCCACCTCTTTAAAGTGCCTCATATTTGTCAGCAACATCCTTGTATCCCTCCCTGACAAAATAACAAACATGCTGAAAAACACACAGTTACACAATGTTAATGTGATAAAATACATTTCTGGATCTTTTTCCACATCTGCACCAGAATTTTATGAATTCTTCCTTGGCTCATGCCCCATCCTTCCACCAAGGCTTGAAATCCATTCAGTAATTTTTGTGTAATCCTGCATACAATATTCAAACATACAACCAACCAACAAACAGACTGGTGAGAACAGAACCTCTTCTGTGGAGGTAACAATGCATCTGAGGATGTCAGGAAGTGGGAGGGGAGATCTGATAAATAACTTCTCAGAGCCTCTCAGAACTTAATCAATCAATAAAATCTTGGCAGTAGAGATTTGGATTAGTTGGAGGCAGGAAAATGACTCAGTTTTATTACTAACGCCAGAGAAATAGAAATTACAAACGTCTGATCAGTATTTACTTATAAAGAAAATTATATTTTACCAGCAGTGTCCATTTTAAACACATTTCTTCATCATTCAAAAATATCAATCCCTATCACACATAAACACAGCCCCTTGCTCACACACATACTTACATATATACATATACCACTCATAAAGTGCTGTCAGAGCTTGCATCATCACAGGGTAAGATGGAAAAGTTCAGTGTGACACAAAATGTCAACAACATGTATGTGTACATGTATGTGTACATGTATGTGTAAAAGATTTTCATTTTGGATCTTGTGCTACACGTCACTGCACGAGTGAACCTGAGGAGAAAGACAGATGAGGTGTGGGAAAAAATGTAATTGGGCAAAGAATATCAGAAAGCACTTTGTTTGATGTGTCAAGAGGATAGAAAAAAAGGAGGCCTTATTTGAAACCATAACAAATTGGATTTAGCTGGGATCAGCCACAGTGAAAGGAGGAGGAGAGCTGAGGAGGAGAGTTGAGGAGGAGAGCTGAGGAGGAGAG